TAAGAACAAAGCATAGTCTTAATTAGATTCTATATAGACTGATACTGGAATAAATTTATGTTCTTGCCAGAATTATCTGAAATGGTAGTGGTAGAATGAGGTATAAGTGACCCAGAAGTATCTTTGGTAGCAAGCAGAAACATTGTGGTGTTAAACATTTGCTGCAGATAATAGAAGATCAACTAGTGATTTTTAAACTGTCTGTGGAGTTCTAGGCATGTTGCTGGATGGCAAGTCATGCCTCTCCCTCTTCGTCCGTCAACACTGTTCATCCCTTCAGCCAGAAGGACTCTTCCTCTAGAACGGAGCCACTTTGCCCTGCTTCCATACTGGGCTCCTATGTAGGTGTTTATTTGGAAAAAGGGTTCTGCAGCTACATTAATATTAAAAGCACAAAGCATGATCTTTTTTTCCTCCCTTTCTATCTTCCTCAAATTTGAATTTCAAGAATATCTGACTCATAAGATGACTAAGAGTCCCTCAGACTTTTCGCAGAAGTATACACATTTAAGTTTTAGCTTTCCAGAGGATAATAAAAGATAGGAATTTGTTTTCATTTGTGCATTTGTTTGTTTTTCTCCTTTGGTACCTTACCTTTTTACCCAACTCTGGCTCACATAATTTCCTTAAGCAAAAATTAAGATGTTCATATGCAATCTGTGTCTGGACTCCCAAATTGCACAATATATATTGTAGAGCCTGGATTTTTAGGTATCTTAGATCATACTTTTCAGAAAGGTGGATAGTTTAAATGATTTCTCTAAAATGAGTGCATTAAAAACTAGAGTGTTTATTCAACTTTCATCCTGAGACTTAATGAATTTCGAATTCAACTTTACTTTGACATGTTTTATAAAATTGTTCTGATTAAATGCTATCACAAGAGTGAAGCATGTTGAAACAGATTGTGAGAAAATATGAAAACCCATGTAATACAATTTTGAGGTTAGGAAAAGAGACTTTATACAAGGAAAAATAATCTTTTTTTTTTTTTTTTTTTTTTTTTTTTTTAAAAATTTTTTTTGCTTTATTTTAACCATCTTGAAGTGTACAGTTCCATA